TTTTGGCGAAAAATATATAATGTCTGGAGATTTTTGTATGATCGGAAATGCTAAAAAAGAAGGGAAGGAGGAGAAGGATGGGAAAGAGAATGTTTATCCCGACCCAACCGAGTTACATTTTCTCGCAATTCACATTGGCAGATCTGGGGGAGGGGGGTCATGGGTCCTGACCCCTCCCTTGGACAACAAAAAAAAAGGGGAAAAAGAAAAGAATTCTAAACCTACCTTTTCAGGACCCGTGAGCTGACTTTTTTTAAATTTTTGTTTTTGTTGCTATTAGAAAATTAGAATTTTGAAGAACATAAAATTCATTAAAACACACTTCAAATGTCGGGAAAGCTCAATTCCCGTCATCTAGGAATCAAAATTTTCCCGGGGGAGAGCCCCCGGACCACCCTTTCTTTTTGGGATTTATCGATTCATGGAAAAAAGAATACGCATGCAACTACTCATTTGTTTATGTATATATACACACATAAAATAAAAAATGAGAAAAATTTACCTGACCTTTTTCAAGAGGGGAAAACCTTGAATTTCGTAGAACTTTAAAAGTCATTAAAAGACATTTCAGAAGTCGAAAAGCTCATCTCCCGCCATCCAGAAATCAAAACTTTTCTGGGGGAACCCGAACCCCCTTTACCTTTGGAGTTTGATTAATTGAATCATTTTCAAGGGGTGGCGGGTGGGGGGACCTTGAATTTTGAAGAATTTAAAAGTCATTAAAAGACACCACAGAAGTCGGGAAAGCTCATTTCCCGCCACCTAGGAATCAAAATTTTCCCGGGGAAGAACCACAGGACCTCCCCTCCCCCCACCCTTTCTTTTTGGGATTTATCGATTCATGGAAAAACTACGTATACAACTTATTCAATCTTTTTTTATGTATGTATACACACATAAGGCCTATTTACTGTATTAACAATGGAAAAAATTATCTGAATGTTTTCAAGAGTGAAAAACCTTGAATTTTGAAGAACTTAATTACTTTCTAGTTCTTCAAAATTTAAGGTGTTCCCCTCTTGAAAATTATTATAATGAATCAATGAACCCAGAGAAAGGGAGGTTCGAGTTCTTTCCGGGAAAATGTTGATTTATAAATGGTGGACAATGAGATTTCCCGACTTCTGAAGTATTTTTTAATGACTTTAATTTAAAAGACACCTCTGAAGTCGGGAAAACTCATTTCCCGCCTTATAGGAATCAAAATTTTCCTGGGGAATAACCTCCGGACCTCCCTTTCTTTTGGGATTCATCGATTCATGGAAAATTCGTATGCAACTACTCATTTTTTTGAAAATTGTTATGTATGTATATACACATATAAGCCCTATTTACTGTAATAACAATGGGAAAAAATACCTGACCGTTTTCAAGATGGGAAAACCTTGAATTTTGAAGAACTTAAACGTAATTAAAGACAGAAGTCGGGTAAGCTCATTTCCCGCCATCTAGAAATCGAAATTTTCCCGGGGGAGGAATGTTAAAAAAGAGAAGAGAAAAATAAAGACAAGAATAAAAAGGAAGATATAATGAACAGATATCGCAATACCCCGGCCTGCAACCCCTTCTCCACTTCAAAAAGTGTCCATAGCGCATTTGATCTAAGCCGCCAGATATTCTCCGCAGTGGCGTAAGCACCGGGGACAAGGAGAAAATATCCATCTGTGGAAAATCTTTCCCCATTGAATGCCCTTTTCACCCGGAAAGTGCCTGAAAACCTCAAATTTTAAATCGCATATTTTGTTAAGGTAGGCCAATTTCCTCTAAAAATTGCACATTTTATGGAGTTTTGATCAATTCCGACGAAATTAGAATTAAAAAAACAAAAAATTTTCGCGCGCTTCGTGCATTTTTTGATCTTAAAGCTTGTGCTTGCTCTCTTTTGCCTTCGAAGTTATAACACATATTCCCAAACTCAAGAAAGAAAAATTAAGATAGATCGTTTTACCTAAAAGAAAGGCCTCAATGTGTAATGATGTTGAAAGAATATGTTTGTAATAAAGCCATAAGGAAAATGCTTATATTCAATTTAAAAAAACGAGTGTGGCCATATATAACATAAGAGCATTTCTTGTTGAGGTAGGCCAATTTCCTCTAAAAATTGCACATTTAGGGAGTTTTGTTAAATTCCGACGAAATTAGAATTAAAAACACAAAGATTTTTCGCGCGCTTGTGCCTTCTAAGTTATTTAAAAACCTAATAGTCCCGAACTTGAGAAAGAAAATTTAAGATAGATCGTTTTACCTAAAAGAAGGGCCTCAATGTGTAATGATGGTGAAAGAATAGGCCTATGATTATAATAAATAAAACCACGATGAAAATGTTTATATCAAGTTTCAAACACACGTGTGTGGCCAACACCCCTGTTACGCGCCTTATAAGTGCCCCCTCCCCCACTTTGAAAAACGTTCCTTCGGCCCTGTATAGGACTTCAATTTGGGGTTGAGTTTCAAAGTTAAAAGTTAAAAACCCCGAGTTGGCAATCTTTAGACACGGTGCCCATAGATGGCGCTTCGTTTCAAACATCTAATAAAGTCCTCAAAATCACCTACAATATGACGTGGGGCCAGGTGCCGCTGTGTATGCCTACCTCTAGTGAGGGCCCAATCACATTGTTAACGTTTTTGGACTGTTTGAGTGTTTTCGACAATTCGGATGAATGCAAAGACGATATGCTTCACCTGGATATTTTGGATGTCTACAACTAGGCTGTCTATCATGAAAACTGGTTACAATATTAATAATTATTTTAAAGTTTGATTTATGTATATGTACTAGGCTACTGAATTCACTGAAATAAAATTATTAAAAGTTGAAAGATAAAAGTTAGTGGTTTTTCATACTTCTTGCCTCAAATCCACCAATCAATCATTTAAAAACGTATAGCCCAGCTGCATATATATAGACTGGATAAAAACGAAAAATTAATATCAATCTATACTTTTTTGGATGAGACGCGTGAAAAGCGGGAGAATATGGAGCCCGGCATCCTGCCGAAGAGTTTCTTTTCTGCGAGTTGTGGGTTGAAATATCCGAGTTACAAAATGCGAGTTGGAAAATACCGTATAAAAAAATCTCATTCCACTTCCACTTATCATACCATATTTTATCAGTTAAACTCCCACAATAATGCCCTCATTCATATCGCTTGTTGTACATCTCGCTTTGAAACATCATTCCTTCCATATTCCCTTGCCCTTGCATACTCCTTGTCTTTTGACACTTCCACAACGCCTTCCTTTATAAAGTAAGCTCTCAACATGTAGACAAATATTAACCAATCTTTTCAGTCTCTTCATAAACAATGAAAGAGAAAAAATACTCAACAAGGTATTAAATGAAATATACATTTCCTAAGTTTGTTAATAGAATTACTAAAAAATATTAACTTCAGGATAAGTATTAGATTTCAGATATACTGAGCCAGTGAATACAGTAAATGCCAACATTAATGATAAGCCATGATAATTTGTAGGCTATTGCTCATTATGCAAAACAAGTACAATGATTTGATTTAATATCTTGCTTGTATGTCTTATGTGTCTTTAAGTCAGCACACAGGATAGAATGTATCATTAATATTATTATTATTATTATTATTATTATTATTATTATTATTATTTTTTTTTTTTTTTATCATCATCATTATTAATATCATCATTATTATTATCATCATTATTATTATCATCATCATTGTTATCATCATCATTGTTATTAATAGCATCTAGCCCAGGATATTCCTTTAATTTCCAAGATACCATGGGAATATTTTGGCACCCCAAACCTTGAGTCTATGTTTTTTTTATCCAGTAGTGGAAACTGAATTGATTGATTTGTTGTACATTAAAGACAAAAAGAGCCCTGGTTTGATAAGGTTTTACACCTCTTGTAAGATCTGTTTTACTTTGGATTAGGCTACAGTGGCTCTATACTTGGACCTCTTTTATTCTTGATATACGTTAAGGATCTTCACAATTCTTCCAATACTTTAAATTTTATTCTTTTTGCCGACGATACTAACATATTTTATTCACACAGTAATATTAAATCACTTTTCAATATCCTTAATGTTGAACTCGCTCATGTTTCTAACTGGTTTAAGATAAATAAATTGTCTCTTAACACATCTAAATAAAATTATATAATATTTGGTTCAAAAAACATTAATTTTGGTAATTTGACCATAAACATTGATGATAAAAACATTATGCGTGTTGATGAAACTAAATTTTTAGGCATAACTACTGATTCTAAATTATGCTGGAAGCCGCATATAAACAGAATTAACAATATTATTTCCCGAAACATCGGCATTATCAATAAACTTAGATTTACATTTCCCTCTAATATTCTGTTAAAACTTTACAATTCCCTAGTCTTGCCTTATATTTCCTGCAGCATTGCTTGGTCTATCTCAGTCGATAAGTTTACCAATTTTTCTCCCTGGGATAGCTTTGAAACATCTCACATTGATAACCTTTTTAAACTCCAAAAACGGGCTATGAGAATCTGTGATAATACACACTTCAGATCGCACACCGAACCTTTTTTTACAAATACAATACCCTTAACATTTATGATTTGAACAAATTTCAGTCTGCTTTATTTATGTTTCATTTATATAATAATATGGTACCATCCCATATATCCTCTTTATTTTTAAAATCGTCCGATTACCATCAATACAATACTCAATCCTCACAAAATTTTATTTCTAAATCCTT